CCTGACTGTCTGCTAGAAGACTGCTCTGAATTTCCATGCTCTTCCTGGAGGAGACCTTGCAGCACTGGGGGCCTCCCGCTTACCTGCTGAACCTGGGCTGGGAAAATGGGCCAAGGTCTAACCTGGAGTCACCTTCTAGGCGGTCATTCCCACTGTAGCTGCCACTTTAGTGTGGGAGCCTCAAGGTGTGTGTGGACTGACCCCTGGACGCTCAGGGTTCACTTGTTTTCATTGGTACCTGAACACTGCTTGCCACAGAAATCAACTGAGCTACCTCCAAATGTTCTTGCTTTGTCCTCTGTGGGAAGGGAGGTTCAGATAGTCAAATAGGACAAGGTAATTGAAGACAATTTTAGAAATGGAAGAAAAAGAAAATAAATTGAGTCCTGTCATTCAGTATTAACTATTGTCAAAATTTTAGAACATTTAGTTGGAACAACTGTTTGGAATAGTAAGTTTTAGAGTTGGGTTTATGTAGTAAATGGGTAACTAATATATAATGTACAATTTTTGCAAGTTTAGTATTAAATGTTTTCCTGTTTTTTCTAACATGAGCTTTTCGCTTTTAAAAAATTCTTCAAAAATGCTATTGAGTAGACGTGTAGAAGATGCACTATAACATGATGGCTGAACATTCAAAATAATTATTTATTTAGAAATAATGCTTTTTCATTACCCAAGTGTGGTGGTGCATGCCTGCAGTCCCAGCTACTCAGAAGGCTGAGACTCAGGATCACCTGAGTCCTGGAGTTTGAGGCTACAATGAGACGTTACTGTGCCACTGCACCCAGCGTGGGTGACAGAGTGAGACACCAAATCAAAACAAAACAAAAAAGCCAGGTGCAGTGACTCATGTCTGCAATCCCAGCACTTTCTGAGGCGGAGTCAAGAGGATTGCCTGAGCCCAGGGCTGCAAGACCAGCATGGGCAACTTGGCAAGACCTTGTCTCTACAATAAATCAAAAAAATTAGCTGGGTGTGGTGGCTTGCACCTATAGTTCCAGTTGCTTGGAAGGCTGAGGCAGAAGGATCACCTGAGCTTAGCAGATGGTGGCTGCAGTAGCAATGAGTGTGTCACTGCACTCTAGCCTGGGTGATAGGGTAAGACTTCCGATGGACGGACGAACAGATGGAAGGAAGGAAGCTTTTTCAGTCAAATTTTTATTTTTTCTTTGAGTCAAGGTTTCATTCTATTGCCCACGCTGGAGTGCAGTGGTATGATCATGGCTAACTGCAGCCTTGGCCTCCTGGGCTCAGCGATCCTTCCACCTCAGCCTCCCAAGTAGCTGGGACTGGGGGGGGGGGGGGACCACATCTGACTAATTTTTTAATAGAGACGAGGTCTCACCAAGTTGCCCAGGCTGGTCTTGAATTCCTGGACTCAAGCAGTCCTCCCACCTTGCCTCCCAAAGTGCTGGGATTATAGGTATGAGCCACTGCGCCTGGACTCAGTCAAATTTTATAACACAATTTTATTCAAATCATGTGTCTTCATCATCCAAGACACTTTCATTGTCAACTTGCCCAATTTGCAGATGTCATTTTCACATATATTTAAGTTGAGGGCAGTTTTTTTTCTTTTTAATTCATGCTAGGCTTGTATATTCTTGATTTATGCAATATAACATCTTCCTTTTGCTATTTATTTATTTTTTAGTTGGAGCCTCACTCTGGCACCCAGACTGGAGTGCAGTGACATGCTCCTGGCCACTGCAGCCTCAACCTACTGGGCTCCAGCGATCCTTTGGCCTCAGCCTTCCAAGTAGCTGGAACTACAGGTGCAAGCTACCACGCCTGGCTAATTTTTGATTTATTGTAGAGATGAGGTTCGCCAAGTTGCCCGGGCGGGTCTCGAACCCACGGGCTCAGACAATCCACTCTCCTCGACCTTATTTATTTATTAACAGGGTCTCATTTGTAGTCCAGGCTGGAGCAATCATAGTGGTGCAATCACAGGTCACGGCAGTCTTGAACTACTGGGCTCAAGAGCTCCTCCCACCTCAGTCATGTGAAGAGCTGGGATTACAGGTGTGTGCCACTGCACCTGGCTCCTGCTGCTTTTTAATTTTTTTTTGGTTGGAGTCTCACTCCATCACCCAGGCTGGAGTACAGTGGCAAGCTCACGATCACCCCAGTGTCGACCTGTTGGGCTCCGGCGATCCTTCCGCCTCAGACTTCTAAGTAGCTGGAACTACAGGTGCGCGCTACTGGCTAATTTTTTTAATTTATTATAGAAATGAGGTCTTGCCAAGTTGCCCAGGCTGTTCTCGAATCCGTGGGCTCAAGCAATCCCCTTACCTCAGCCTCCCAAAGTGCTGGGATTACAGGCTTGAGTTACTGCGTGCGACCAATTTTTTAATTTTTTGAGTCAGAGTCTCACACTGTCACCCAGGCTGGAGTGCAGTGGCATGATCATGGCTCACCAGAACCCTGACCTCCTAGGCTCAGGCGATCCTTCCGCCTCAGCCTCCTGAGTAGCTGAGACTACTAATTTCTGATTCTTTTGTAGAAACGAGGTCTCACTATGTTGCCTAAACTGGACTTAAACTTCTGGATTCAAGGAATCCTCTCAGCTTGGTGTCCCAAAGTACTGGGATTACAGATGTGACCCACTGCACCCAGTCACGAGCTGAACATTCTTGACAGAATAGCTGACATGATTTAGAAATTGCCTGAGGATGAAGACCATGTCTTAGTCAACTTTCTATCCCACCCACACCACCTACTCAACACCTGGGAGATCCAACCACTCCAGGACCATCTTTTGTTTTTTGTTTTGAGTCTCACTCTGTCACCCAGGCTGGAGTGCAGTGGCATACTCACAGCCACTATAGCCTCAACCTGCTGGGCGCAGGCAATCCTCTGCCTCAGCATTCCAAGTAGCTGGAACTATAGGCATGCACCACCATGCCTAGCTAATTTTTAAAAAAATATATTTATTGTAGAGACGAGGTCTTGCCAAGTTGTCAAAGCTGGTCTCAAACCCCTGGACTCAGGCAATCCTCTCGCCTCCGCCTCTCAAAGTGTTGGGATTACAGGCGTGAGCCACCATGCTCAGCAGGACCATCTTTTAGAACTTTTCCTGTGACTGCACGAGTGGTACAACCATAAACAGCCTGGGCTGCTGGAAAACGCTGGGACTCATGAAGCTTACCCAGATGTGGGAACTTTCACAATCATTTTCTCCTTAGAGCCCAGTAAAATTCCTGACGGGTACTACTCTGCAGGAAATCAACTCAGCACTAAAGTGACATATCCCAGGTAAGGCATACTAAAAGAAATGGCAATGCTAAGATTTGAACCTAAATCCCGTGTTCCCAAACAGGAATTTCTTTCTAGCATCTATGAAGGTCAAATATTCCTGGGTTCCCCAAAGGACTGTTAACTCTTGGAGGCACTAAGTGTCGCATCTGAGAATCTTTCCTAGTTTCAATGATTCATTTTTTTTTTTGAGTTGGAGTCTCACTCTGTCGTCCAGGCTGGAGTGTAGGGTCACGCTCATGGCCACCGCTGCCTCGGCTGGTTGGGCTCAGGCGGTCCTTCCACCTCAGCCTTCCAAGTGCTGGAACTACAGGCGTGCGCCACTATGCCTGGCTAATTTTTTGATTTATTGTAGAGACGAGGTATCACCAAGTTGCCCAGGCTGGTCTCAAACCCCTAGACTCAGGCAACCCTCTTGCCTTGGCCTCCCAAAGTGCTGGAATTACAGGCTTGAACCACTGTCCCGGGCTCAGTGATTCATTTACTCAAAAATGTGTTCTGAGCCGGGCTCAGTGGCTCAGCCTGTAATCCCGCGCCTTGGGAGCCTGAGGTGAGTGGATTGCCTGAGCCCAAGGGTCCGAGACCCGCCTG